TGAATCTTGAATTAAAGTAATCTAATGGCTTAAATAAACTATATTATACATCACATGCATATTATAATAACTTCTAGACTGGTTGTGGCTGACTGTAATCATTCATTGCAACTAAAAATATTTGTTATTATAATATYATAAGATAATATCTTTTAAAATCTTCTTGTTTTACATAAGTGTCAAATCTTTATACAATTTTAAAAAAGTGCAATGGTTTTATTTTCTCATCCTGTCCTGTCCTCAGATTGATTGTAATGAGCAATAATTAGGTAGCTTTGATAATAAATAAACAAAAATTAACAATAATACATTAAAGAAAAAATGGGTGCAACATGCTCAGTGAATCACCCTGTATATGTATTAATAATGATTAATGATTAATTAATTTATTCAAATTCTAATTTTTGGAATTTTTAAATATACTCAAAGACTATATTTTTAAATTCTAGATATTTTTTAAGCTAGAATATAGTTTTAAAAAAATATGCTGTACAAAGTATACCTACCCAGGTTGCATTTTAAATACAAAAAATTAAATATAGGACACAATTTACAGCAACTCATATATAGAAATAGAGTTGTTCGATATCTTAAGTATTTATCATCAACAAAATTTTATGACATATTCAGGCAATTTATCTACCTTTATWGTATAATTATATTTTATATTTTTATATTAAATATTTTTTTGTGTTGCGCCGGGAGGTACCGACAAAAAACGAAAATAGTTTTCAAACGATTTTATTATAATATAAAACGTAGTATTAAATAATGTGCATAGTATTCATATTTATAATTATTATAATGCATAATTTAATTATATTGTTATATACATGGTAAATCCATTGGCGCAATTAGGGAGAGTGCTTTGGGTCTTTAGCACCCTTTAGGCCTTTAGTCAAAATTAGCATCTTTAAAATTGTTTAAAATGTTAGGTCCCATTAAGTCACAAAAACCCTTCAGCTTAAGCACCGCCTTGTTGAAATTTCTAGTTGCGCCGATGGATAAATCATTATACATTATTGTAACTCTCAACTATATTTTGTTGATTTTCTTCCTCCGGTTCATCTGCTGCCCATGGTTGTAGTTCTACCGAAGTAAAATTGGCGTACAACACAGCTACCGTAAAACATATTATCATCATCAGGATAGCAGACTCAATTTTGCTAAGCATCTATATACAAATATAATTGCGATAATTACTTAATTTAATATAAATTAGAACATTAAAATGTTTTTCTATTATTACTTCAGAACTCAATATTCTATTTACGGCATCAACCCACAAATGGATGGAAATATAATGTATGCTTAGCAGTAAACTATTCAATAAACTAGCATATTTTGGTGCGATGTCTAAAATATTTATGTAGAATCCTACACGAAACAAACATCATGAAAATTAGTTTTAAATATTGTATATCAATTTATGTTTCACATGCCTTTAAAATATATATTTACTTACCGAAATTATAAAGATAATGCATTTCTTTAAAATAATATTTTAACATTTTATTTGTATTCACAGTATTGCCTAAAATGGCCTCCAGAACAAAAAATATACCCATTGAACCGAAATATGAGCAACTCCAAAACTTTCTGACGTTGGAGGTAGAAAAAGGTACGGTGATTTCTGGAACTAATTCGACCAAGACGACGAAGAGTGTTAATAAGATGATCGTGTAATTTCTCGTGGTCCATTCGAATACGTACTGTTTTGTCAACAATTTTTTCAATAACAGCAATATATATATAAAACAAATATAATAGATTAATAGCACTTCTTAATTTATTAAAATAACACGTACGTCACCGTATAAAGCACTACCGTAATATGAATCTAAAATTAGAGTATCACACACGTATAATAAGGCAATCGCAAGAACTGGCTTAGAAGTACTAATCGATTTCCATGGAATGTCCGATACGATTGATCGGGTTAACGAAACGTCAAATACCTCGGATGAATATCGAGTATTGTTTGAATCTCCAAGTATAATAAGGCAATCGCAAGAACTGGCTTAGAAGTACTAATCGATTTCCATGGAATGTCCGATACGATTGATCGGGTTAATGATACACCATTTGTTCCAAAAGAATATCGCGAGGTGTTCACACCCCCAAACAAAATAAAATCGCTGTTTAGGCTCCGAAATGAATATTTTCCATTAATCACATACAACCATAAAACGTACCACGCCAATCCAATTACACCTATAACAAAATACATAATACACCGTATGTAATTATATTATCCTAATATTCAATARCTCGGTATGGCGATGTAATTGCTAGTATACCAATAAATAGAGTTAAARGATAAGACGAATGTGTATCGTGGAATTTATTAAAAGTGTCATGGAGATATCCACCATTAAATATCGACATRGACAATACTATTGGAAAGTGACGTATTGACTGTTTATCTTGTGGGACCCAATACGTCCAAACTCTGTAAAGTGACACATCCACAACGGCCTATAGGATAATAATGTACAAAACTCATTAATATTYACTAATTTGTATACTATGAAATCGAACTTCACATAAATAAAGAATCTTATTTTTACCATTGTCATTCCGACAAAAAATTGTAAAAAACAATGTGTGTGAGTGTTTAAGTAACTTATACTTATGACTGAAATTAACTGACCAATCGACGATATGGTGACGAAAATTCCTAAGATACTGAAAACATAATCATAAAACTTAATTGAATTATGATAACTTCTTGGTGAAGTAGGGCTAGGATTAATACACATTAATTTATTAATCGTTCTATTACTTAGCAGTCGTGAGTTGGAATTTGGTTATACAAGATAATGAGAATCACGTAATATTATTTTATAAAAAACTAATTAAGTATTTTTGTTTGCATGTTTTTTCATTAAGAATTCGAGTACCTTAGAATATTTTTGTCAGATTTCAGGAGTTAATTGTAAATTTTTTTGGTTTTAMATTTTAAATTTCTATATTCAAAGACTCATATGAGACTCGATCACAGCACACCAGGTGTGGACACATGGTGTCAGAGTTACTAAAAAAAAACGCGTGAATAAGGTGGGGAATTTAAATTCAATTTAAATTTAATGATATGAATTCAAAAATATCACGCGAATCTTATTTTCCAGCCTAATTTATCAACCACTGATTTGAGTAGTAACCGTCACCTGGAGCATTATGATCGAGTCACAATTGATTTGAAACACATTATAATAATTAAATTGTTTTGCATTTGCACTAATAATGCAGGTATTGAAATATATTTGTTTCATAACTTAGAAGTAACTGTGAATTTTTATAWTTTAAATTTAAAATGATTGAATTAAATTTTTCGGATATTTCCAAACAAAATATTGGCTAAATAATTTACAGTAAAAAAGAAGAATTTCCATTTAATAAAAAGAAGATTATATCCCAAATCTCAAAAATTTGAAAAATGTATCTGGAATAATCAGTATTCAAATAAATGTATCATTAAATAAAAAGCTGAAGTAAGCGTGCTTGAATAATCACCCAGTATAATTTGTATATCAGCATTTTTTATTAAAAAAATTCACATATTACGCATGCCTTTATTTTATATTGTAATATTGAATAATATAAACCTTAGCCCTATGTTACAATTAAGTATTGCTCGATTACTTGTGAGCCGGATAAACAGTGGCTAAAACACCACCAGGTATTAAACCGATATAATATCCATCCATATTGTAAGATAAGCAACCAAAATGAGTATAATCAATCTGTAATTATATTATAATATTATTTAAATAAATAATTAATTTACTTGTAAGTATACCGGTTAGGTATTATATAAAAATTAATTATTTGATATAATAAGCACTCACTTTATTTTGTTGTTCCATAAACTCAATAAATCTATAATATGTACTAAATTGAAGTGACGTGATACATAAACCTATTTAAAAATAAGTATATTATACATACATGTATAAATAAGTATATGTTATAGGTTAAAGTAATGAGAGTTCCAGTGAAATTATCAAAGTCGTCTCAAAGAGAAAGAGTTGATTATAAAACGTAGAGTTAATATATTGCAGGAAACATGCTATTTAATTAAGAAGTATGTCTACATCTTAAAATATCTTTCCACCTAAACTGAAATATTTGAATATTTGAATGCTATTAGACAGTTGACGGTTGGAAGACCACTTATTAGCGTTGACGGAAATCGGCGGCCAACACAATGCTATATTTTGCAAATTATTCCATTTAACATGCAAATCGTCAGTGGGATAAATTGACTACATACTACGATTTACCTACAATTCCGAGCAAAACTATAGCGTATCCTTTGTTCCAATATGTAATTTTCAAACGGATAAACCTGTTGGTGAATCTGGRCGACGGTTGTTCTGGTAATTGTATGTGGGTTGGAGAATCCCATCTACTGGTTGCGTTTTCCTCAAGACTCATCTCTATTTTTTTTAATGAATCA